AAATTAAAAAAAAAAATTTCAATGCAATATGTGCTCAGTGTTCACTTATTCAATTATTCTGAAACTGTTGTGCATCCCCACCCCTGTCCGTTTTAAACATTCTGGATCCACCCTTAATAACACACTGCACAATAATTCCTCACAAGGACTATAGTGTGCAGCAAAGACACTCAAAAAAATTAACTGCAAAGACGTCCTTCAGAAAAATAATGACATATGGTAACCATAACATCCACAACGATTGCCTCCTCAACTTCCCCATTCAAAAATGTACATGATCGCCACCTTTTCCCACTCATTCAACACCGTGCGGAGCACGGGTATATGCTAATAATAATGATAATGATAATGATGATAATAATTATAATCTATAATATTATTCCTAATTTTTTTAATATCACTGTTAAATAATTGTTATCATTAATGTGATTATTATGCACTATGATTACTAGCAGCACTAATCCGTTCATATGCAATTTGGAATGCACACTCAATGGCTAGGAACATGAGGAAACTGCCATAGATAAATGAAATGAGATTGTGCTTGGAACAGAAAATAATAATTGTAAAATAAAACTGTAAAATCTAAATTTTGAATATATTGTAAAGGAAAGAATAGATGGTAAAAATCTAGCTCCCTAAAAATGCATGATTTTTAGAATTTTTGTTATAAAAATTAGCCTATGCATCAATAAAATTATTAAATTACATAATACAGTTTGATAATTTAAAAAAAAGAAGGACCGATGGGTTGATAGAGAGAAAATAATTAAATTGAAACCACATAATATGTACATCGTTTTATTTAAAAAACAAATATGTACATGGTTTTATTAAAAAAACAATATTTATAAATAAAAAAAAAATGGGTTTAGTTATGTTAGGCCTGCAGGGTTAAACTAGGAGAAGATAATGTCACCATATTGTAATTTAAAGGTTGACATAAGTATTATAAAGTAGTTCATTCAAGATGATGACATAATTAATGTCGAAATATTGAATCCCAACATGATGGCGTGCATTTCAATACTTGGAGTATGTATACTTTCTTATCTGAGATTATCAGTGGACCTTTCGATAAAATAATTCAGTAGCCGTATTAGTCAGTGTATACAAATGAAAAAAATGAGGTAGCACTTTTTTGACTAACTAACAATATGATATTTTTCACAAACTTCCATCCCAGGCAATATTGCTTCATCAGATGAGTAAAGTGGTTCACAAGATACAGCAATATTTATGGACACCAAATTGATGATTGGATAAAGCTAAAATATATATGATGAACAATAAATCTGATTGGATAGTGAAACAATTAAGTTTAGGTCTTGCTGGATCAATGGAGAGGCATTTGTTAGGCATAACATAAGTAATATAGAGTGTATGAATATAAGAAAATAATGTTATGATGAAAACCACGCATACACAAAAGTATGCATTTACTCAATATTTTACATTAAAATGAAAGAAAAAAAAATAAGGGAAAAGAAAAAAAAGTATAGAAATACACTGTAATGATTTTTGAAATACAACTAATATTGTGTAGGCCTATCTTCAATTTACGAATACAAGTGGGATGACCCCACAAAAGGGAAAACATTGTAAAATCTAAATTTTGAATACTATTTAATATTGTAAATAAAGTAATTGTGAAATCTAAGCTTTGAATAATTATAGGCCTTTGTATATAAATTGTAAAATCTAAATTTAGAATGATTATTATTGAAAATTGAATTTTTAATTGTTAATGTTTCTGCTTTGCATTTGTAATCTTGTAATTGAATTGACTGCCTGCATAAGCCTGTTAATTCAGGCTGCGCCCTGGTCTTAGTATACAAATGTTGTCATTTGTATTGTTTTTATTGTATATTGAATATTATTAAGAATGATCGAAACAATATATTAAACACGAATTAATTGCAACCTGTTTCCTCATAACAATTACCGACAAAGAAGACAGTCGCTTTAGAGGTCGAGTAACAACGAAACACGAATTAATTGCAACCTGTTTCCTCATAACAATTACCGACAAAGAAGACAGTCGCTTTAGAGGTCGAGTAACAACGTGTATTTTGTAACCTTTATCGATACCTATTTCTGAAATTTTAATTTCCAACTATCATTAGGTCTGAAAATTGACCGATGGCTTGTGCCGATTGGCTCATTGAGAATGGATAAACTTGTTGCAACACCGAGCAAATTGACGGCGAACTAATGCAAATCAATGCATCGTTTAAATTGAACTGGACTTGTCCATTGCAGGTCTACATTCATCAAAGTAGTGATTGAATCCTATACAGAAAGCCAAATGGCAGGTATTGTTAGGCCGATTACATCTAAGAAGTGGTACACCATAGTGCTCATCTTCACTATTGGACATAATATACGTAAGCACATATTCTTGTTTCAATTTTAGTGATACTTGTAAAATTGTAGTGAAGAAATAGGCCTATATCAAATTATATGACCCAAAATAGTTTTTTGAATGTTGAATGAACAAAAACTACAGATTGGACCTTTATAAGCTTTTGTGAAATAATTTTTTAATGCTTCTCAGCTCAGATAAGCCTAGGCGCCTAAACTCAAACAGTCTAATATTAAATTATATGACCCAAAATAGTTTTTTGAATGATGAATCAACAAAATATACAGATAGGACTTTTATAAGATTTTGTGAAATCATTTTGTTAATGCTTCTCAGCTCATATCCACCATCTTCATCTCATAAAAACATCATACTGTACCAAACGTTAATTATTACATTTGGTAAAGCCATATCCATGGATGATACTGTACTATAATTTTCGTTGATGCATTTCCATAAAACTATTGTTTATGTTCCATTATTATTAATTCTCCATTTAGGTAAAATTATTTGCGTGTTTACTCGTCAATTATGTCTCTTGAAACCACAACATCAGCCATCATTGTTCGTCTGTATCTCCACACGCCAAACAAGTTGCCACACTCGTGGTCACGCTACCTCATCTTGGACAAACTAGCCAGACTTATGTGTCTTACTGACCGCCATCACGAGTATGATTTGACTGAAAACATTGGAAATGAATATGAAGATAATGAAACTGATGATGTTGACATGTGGGCTGATAATAATATCTCACATGAATCCATTGGTAAATGTCTTCTTAAACAGCTTCAAGTGAGCCAAGCAAAGATAATAGTGAAAACTTCAGTGACATCATAGACGAAGGAACTTACGTCAGTATTGGTTCAAGCATAATGTGTATTGATAGATACTTGAATCTGATTGGTCTGAAGTTGAAAACATGTGACATGTGTGTGTGTGTGTGTGTGTGTGTATGTAGGTGTGTGTGTGTGTGTGTGTCTAGCTATACGACAGCTTTGGGTTTATCTGTGCATCATTATAGACCGATTGTTGCTAGTATGTTTTGTCCTGGTTCTAAATACTTCAGCAATAATTATAATCTACAGAATGCTTAATAATTCAGATTCGACTGGATCGCACTAAAGGTCAGTGGCGTATTTAGAAGTTTTGAAATGGGGTGGGCGCGAAGATGAAGTGTGGGGGGGGGGGCTCGATGATCAGTTGAGGGGCGCTAATTCGCAAAATAAGGTGATTTCAGGTGAATTTTAAATACTTGACCGTGAATTTTTTTTGGGGGGGCGACTGGGTGGCGCAAGTAATGTTTGGTGGGGCGCCCTCCGCGCCCCACCCCCGTAGATATGCCACTGCTCCAAAGGTTTAGTCAGGCACGTTTTGATGATGTAGGTACTCTATCGGTTAGGAGTTGAATGAATTGCACGTTTTTCAAACATTTTCGAGTACATGTTGTTACATTAAACCACTTTTGACGGCTTCAATTGTTTATTCCACGTTCCTATGTTTTAGTAAGGACGATGGTAATGATAATGGTGATAATTCATAATGCTGGCGTAATAAATGCAGATTATAATTTGATGATGATATTGATACAGTACATGATGGTGGCAATAATAATGATGTTGATAACAATAATTTCAAGAACATGAGCATCATTTTTATAATGATGATGCATTAATGCTTATGCAACATACGGTTCTCTCAGCAGTGTGTGCGCCTACTGATTCAATTTTTTTTTCACTTTTTCGTAATCTTATATTGTATATAGTAATCTCAGATAAGATAGTATAATACATACTCCAAGTATTGAAGTGCACGCCATCGTGTCGGGATTCAATATTTCAACATTAATTATGTCATTATCAGAAATATACAGGCCTAGTAACCTCAGTAGTTAATGTGCATTTTATGTCATATCGACACTGAACATGTATCAGTGTACACCTGCCAATTCCTTAAATTTTCTAGTTTAACATACTGGCACGTTTTACTCTTATAGCTGACAAAAAAATACATGTCATGTATTGGTGTTGAAATGGGAATGCAAATAGAAATATGGGGTTTTGGTTTTTAGCGCAAGATGTTTAAATGTAAAAATGCAATAAAAATATTCCCAATCAGTTTCGAAAAAAGTGAAGTTAGTACGTATAAAACGCTGTACACGTTTACTGTAATTGCAATAATTTAAATATTCATAATATACTATTATTTCCGCCTACTGTAATACGGTAAACATATTTAAATGGTCCTCATATGTGCACCCTACGTCGGATCGTGACCAAACTTGAAACACTTCTTTATTAAAACATGACAAACTTTTCTGCCAATTATCATTTTTATCCATTGATTCATTTTTGAGATATTCAGGTCTGGGTCCCAATGGCCCTCACACTTCATTGTCATAATTTCTTCCTTGTAACCTTGGTTAAACTTTCACGAAGTTTCGTTCATATCAGTTGATCAGTTTTTGAAATATCTGGTCTGGGACGTTTTCCTTTAAAGGGTCCTCATATCCACACCCTACTCCGGGTCGTCACCAACATTTAATCACCTCATCATTGGGTCATACCTAACAATCCCTGTAACTGCCATTTAGAACTGTGCAGCTGTTTTGGAGATATTTTGAACACAAGAAACATGCAGGACCGTAACATTTTAATGACTCTCCAGTTCAAACCCAAATTTGGGTTGTCACCAACACTTAATAATTTCTTCCTTGTAACTTTCACAAACATTTCATTCATATCAGTTGATTAGTATTTGAAATATCTTGTCTTGAACGTTTGCTTAAATTAAATCCCTGTAAATGGTCCTCACATCCACACCCTACTGAAAACCGTCACCAAAATTTAATCATTTCTTCATTGGGTTATACCTAACACTCCCTGTTATTTTCGATGATGTCTGTGCAGCCGTTTTTGAGATATTTTGAACACAATAAACCACACGAAAACACCAAAATGTGACATACCCACACACACAAACTTACACGACTGAAAACATATATATCTTCCTGGCGGAGATAATAAAATTTATAATCTCAAAGCAATATATAGGTCTACATGCATGCTTTTAAAATGTTTCAGACAAACTTTTTCATGAATTGTCAAGTTTTTTTTTTATTAATCTCGATTGTTTAATTGTATTTTATACCTTGTTGTGAAGTTTATGTTGTTGTTTGAAAAAATAAAGATTGATTGATTGATTGATCTTATGGTCAGAATTTAACCGTAGAGTTGTCCAAGTCCGAAAGACATACATCAATCCTAAAATGATATGCTCGGTGCTTTTTTTTTAATAGTAAATCAACGAAAACTGATTGAGTTACAAGTTTATTATTGTAAATTATAACTTACTGTAAATGATCCTTTTAATTGGGCCATTCAATAATTTAATTGAATGGTAGAGATTCTTCTAGATTATGTGGCAGACTATATAATTATTAAGTGTTCTTACAACTTCCTAGACTTACCATTTGTGACAAACTATGAAATTAAAGAATTAAAATAAAAACAAGAAATGTTTATTGTGACAACGAGATTCAGTCAAAATTTGAATGTCATTATACAATAGATTAAATAAATATACAAAATATAAAATTTGATTAAAAACATATTAATTTTGTATTACAAACATTAAACATGAAATGGGACTACGAAAACATCGTAAAAAGTCAGTGAAGATTAATTTATACAGTACTAATATGAACCTGTACATCTTATTTATCAATATATCCACGGTCAACATAAAATTATATAGTTGGTACATTTTTCTAACATGATATCTCTAGCACTTTAATGCCTTTGTCATTTCTCTACATTAGAGCATGAGTTATAATTATCTCCATGGTCAGATGTTGTGGGTTGTTGGTTGAGGTTGTGGATGTAAGGTGTGGTCTTTTGTACACGATAACTATATTAAACTTTTAAAATATTTAGGTGTTAGGCGCCATGGTCATACCAACCTAAACTTTAATACGGCAAATGTATATGTACTGTATATATATATACAGTACCGGTACTACAAATACAAATCTGTGAAAGGCTTATTTTGTAACAAGATACCCGCAGTACAAGAAACTGCAGATATTAAGAAAATCCAGAAAAATAGTCGATCTATGACCATAGCTAATTTCTTCCATTCTGCTAAGATGTCGTCTTCTCTATCTTTTTGCTCGCTTATTTCCCTTAAGTGCTTCAACTCTGTGACGATGCTTTCTACAGCTTTCTCAAAATCTTTGTAATGTATTGAGGGCTGTGTGTTATCGATCTTTATTGTGTGTTCAGTCATTTCATGGGTATGTTTGACTAAAAGATTGTTCTCGACGACCATTTTCTCGGCATTTGATTCACTTGGTTCTGGGTTTACTCTGAAGTCTTTATTCATACAAATTAAGGACCCCAGACGCCCAATGATCCATACGCGCATCCAACGCGGCACAGGTTTTGTGCCTGGCAAACGATAGTGTATGTGTAGAACATATACAGTCATCACTGTCGACACGGAGACCAGAAAAATGCTTGCGGCAAAATACTGACCTGAAATTTTATGGAAAAAAAGAGAAATAAATCGATTTTTTATTAATTTCATTATGTAACTGATGCAAGATTGGGACTGGTATTACGAGCGCATTGTGTCGTTCCGTTATACCATAAGCAGTTCCTGGATATCAACACAACTGCGCACCTACCAGAGCGCACCATGGGCGAATCCAGTAGGTGGGGGGGGGGGCACTGGGGTTTGGTAAAAGATTTTTAAATTTCAATGCATATCAATGTTTTGCATTGAAATAATCGCTACTTACTTATCTTAAAAAAATGTTGTGCCCCAACCCCCGTTTGAAAAATTCGGGATTCACCCATGCGCATATTGCAAAGAGCTGGACGCACAATCGTAATAAATGCAGTTGCGTAACAAAGAGTCTCGACCCTCTGGATAAGGCCTCTTTTTCAATCCCTGCTACCCTGGTGCTCAGTGGACTGCGTGGCCCATTTGGGGTACAGGAAAAACCCTGCAGTCCGTCCTTTTTTGACGTTATGTCCTAAAGTGGCCTCATTCGGCCGATTTTTACTCGTGAATCTGGCAAAACACAATATGTTAATTCATACCCCTGCAGCCTCCTAAGATCCAGCCTTTGGATTTTAGCCATTGAAAACTCATAGATGTTACCAGAGGCGGCGCAAGCAGGGGGTCCGGGGAAAAGGACGCCTGTAGGGGAACCCCACTTGGAACCCTCTGTCGGGGAATTTCTATCCAGCAAGGTCGTCGGGGAAAAATCAAATCTCGAGAGCCGAAAGAGTACAGATTTAGCATGCTTTTACTAAGTCTCAAATTTTAGGGACCGTTTTAGTGCAAGCAGTGCTACCGTATGTGCGAGGTGCTGTATCATATTGCGATCGTATGGTTTGCAGTGGCGGCGCCAGCTCTTCCCCGACAGGGGGATGGTACCTCCAACAGGGGGTTAGTACCCCAATAGGGGGACTAGTTACTAGGTACTGTACCCCCTCTTACTCTTAACTTGCATGGTTTTCTATCAAATTTTTTAAATAAATAATCCCATATTAACACAAAATTTTATTATTTTTTAATAAATAAAATTCCCCGACAAATTTGATTTTTCCCAGACGGACCGGGGGGGGGGGGGGTGGGAGGCCTACGCTTCCCTGTCCCAAGGGGTGTCGAACCCTTGTCGAGGAGCTTTACCTTTTCGGAAAATTGCTTGCGCCGCCCCTGGATGTTACACCACTGAATGGTTGATAAGTTATTTCACTGTTTGTTTAAAATTTCGAGTATGTACTCACCGATTAGCGGAACTGTTTCCGACGTCGGTGGCATCGTCTCCGCTACTAGAAGTAGGAACACAGTAAGAGCTAGGAGAATAGTGATCGCTAGCGTCACCTTCTCACCTGCCTCAGCTGGTAGATAAAAATCAAGCAAAGTCAACATGGTAATCAGCATACATGGGATCAACAGGTTGAACAGGTAAAACAGTGGCCTTCTTCTGATAATCATTGTGAACTCGACGGTGGGATATGGCTCAGAACAACAATTGTAATAATACACGTTTCGTTTGACAGGCATACCGATAAGTATCCATTCGCCGTTGTCGATGAAGGTGGAGATGTCTCCGGCTATCGACCTGTTGACGATGTCCAATTGGAAGCCATGGTAGGCCCATGAGCCGAACTTTAAGACGCACATTTGTTCATCAAATGGGAAGTATCTGACGTCAATTTTGCAAGTACTTCTGTAAATTGCTGGAGCGTTCCAAACAACAATACCGTTCGAATATGCCGAAACACTGGTTTCCATCATGCCATTGAAGCCGCTGTCGACACTGAATGGAGGAGATAATAACATTGCATAAAAATATTTGTATTTGTCGCTTCATAATTACATTAAGATCATAGATAATTATAATATCGATGATAACTATAGGTTTAATTATGATCATCCTGCCGGATGGTTGGAGTGATGAGGTGATGATTTTGATGACGACGGTCCAGTGATAATAATGGTGTCTATTGAGAGAATGAACGCGATGCAAGATGATACCGATTGATAAAGGGAGGATTATAAAAAAAAAATTAAATACATCTTCCTTTTTTTGTCGGATTCCAAATATTTTAAAGGGGGGGTGCGGGGATGAGACAAGTGGCCATATATTGCTTATTTAACCTTTCCTGAGTTCGGGAAAAATACTTAAAAAATTCAAATTGTTGAGATGTAACGATAATTAGAGAAACAAAACATGATGTGATGAGACGGGAAAAACAGGTGAAAACGAGGCTGATCACTTTTTTCAGTAGCTTGGTAGCATTTTCTAACCAACTAATTAATATTCAAGACCAGTAATTTTTGGCGAGCAGCTGATCGAAAAATCGTCCCGACGATCGAGCAACTAGCCTAGACAATACGTACGTCCAGTAGTGTGAAGTCGTGAGTTTTTGTGATCGTTTTCGTACGCAGTTACAGAGAGACGGTTTTGTCAACGTCAATTCAATCATGGAGGAATAATTCAATTGAATTAATAAACGTATATCAGTCCGATGACTTGTTTGTTTATAATTAGGCCTAGCCTATGCCTAGGAAGCACAGTCAGTGTCTACCCAGCAGCTAAAGTAGCGCACTCCTGACCGGGACAGTGCTCCAGTCCCGCAGCAGGTGAGTTCGCACGCAGCCTTATCCAGCTGACGGTAAAGTTAGTAGGTTTCTACTACTAGCCTAGACTTGTCATGCCATGGCGACTTTGTCACATTAATTGTGCTAGTGCATATTAATAATACTATAGGCCTGGTCCTATGAAAAACTGTCTAGGCCTAGGCCTAAATGTCTAAAAACTGCACTGTCTAAATAAAGGTGATGTGCTATAACACTACAGTATATCATCAGAGCCAACACCAATTCCTGTAACAATAAGATATTATTGATATACTGTAGACCTAGAAGCTAGGCTACACAACAATAACGCCTCAATAACATGATGCATATGTTACTCCAAACCTAACTTTCAGCTGTTGTTGAAATGTGGAATTCAAATAAAATATACAGTATCTCAGTATGGTATGTTATTGATAAAGCAGCAAATGCCAATGTTTGATGACATTTTTGATTTTTTAACAAACCTGGTTTTTCATTATTGTAACTACTGTTACCGTATACTTATTTCTCAATAGGAGCAAATGACTGGCTCAAATGGATGTGATGCAAACAGTTCCATCTGTGTGGACATGATGAAATGGACATGTCCAATCCATGGTTAGCAGAAGGTGGCGATGCTCAGAGCTCTGCAGCAAGTGATTGAATCCAAAATA